GTTCCCTTGCAAATCCGTCGTTGATTTGTCGCTAAATACTTCCCTCGCTGATCCGTCGCTGAAAGTGTCCGTCGCAAATCCGTCGCTGATTTCCGTCGCTGATCCGTCGCTGATAGCATTACCTACGACTGTTTGACCGACGGAGTATCAGCGACGGATCAGCGACGGAAACCCCTTTTAGCGACGGATCAGCGAGATAATTTTCCCTCCCTGATACTCTGCATTTTTGTAGTGAATGTTGGGTTCATTGCTTTGTGCTTTGATGTTGTATTCATGCTTTGTATTCTCCTTTGTATAAATAGTTTAGTTTCTTTGTAATTTGAGTAGTAACATTTTCATTTTCAAGAGTTATAATCTTTGAAGATCAATACACAAAACCTTTGAAGAACTTTCTCTCTCTACTATTTCATAAAATGTCACTGTTGATCTTAATTGTGATCTTGATAATTGTGTTTGATTAATTTTGGAACATCAAAAATCCACAGTACAAATAAAACCAAATCCAAAACCCTAAAATCAAACCCTAATTTAATGACCAAATCAAATTCTAAAATCAGTAACTAAATCAAATTTTAAAATGGAAAAACTAAAATTGAAACTACAACTGCAAATTGTTTATGTTGATCCTCTCTCTCAATGATTTGATGATGGTCCTTTTTATCTAACAAGAATTACTTAGTTCTCCTTATTCAGTTTCAACGATCATCACTGAGTGTATTTAGTGATCACTGAACAAATATTTTAACTCTCAAGAGACAAGTATTCTTGAAAAAGACAACTCACACCACAAGAACCTTCAGTGATATCGAAGATAGAGCTGAAGATAGAGCTGAAGATAGAGACAAGAAGTTCGTGATCTGATGCGGTTTCAGTGATAACAAATCTGTCTACAAATATGTGAAGTCTACTCAAGATTCAACATACACTGCAGAAAACTTAGAGTTATTCCAGTGTCAGCGATCAAATTAATTTTGTTGATCAAAATTAGTTTTTGTCTTATTCTCTTACACACAAAGGAAAAACTGATACCTCTCAAAGTAAAGCTCTCGTACAGAGTCACTCTATTGTTTCCAAACGCGCTTACCTACTTTGTGAAAGACCATTGTTTATATACGACTAAAAGCCTGTATATCTGAAAACAAAGGACAAGCTCACCTCTATAAGTTTGCCATGTGTCTTATAATGTTTGACTTGCATTTAATACAATGGGTATAAATAACCAAGAAGTCCCTCCTCTTCAAAGAGTCATCAGATCTCAGAATACCCAAGAAGAGACACCTTCACAAGCACATACTTCTTAACCTTGTGAAGTTACATTTACTTCAAGTGAAGAACACCAACTAAGCTCAACCTCTAGCAAAGTTATTGTTTTTTCTTTTAACAAGTCTTTTCTTTCTTGTTTTCTGTATCTTGTGTGTTCCTTAGATTGTTTTATATAAGTCTTGTATCTTACCTTATTACGCAAACAATTTGTAAATTCTGTATTGATCTTATTTATTCATAAAGGATTTTAAAAAGTGAAAATATTTGTGTGTTTGTATTCATCATCCCACCATCTACAAATTGTTACCTTTAAACTTTTGTAGATCTGTCTAGGACCAACAATTTCATTTCTAGGTGTTGAATCAAACTGAAAAGGGAAGTAAGGACTTCTTGAAATTCACAGTTGCCAATTTCTGATGGATGTTTGGTCCTTGAGCTTGGTCTAATAGGACTCATGGTTGCCAAACTGTGAATTTGTCTTGTATTGTCATTTCACTTGTTGGAGATGAGAGGAGGATCAGTGGTGGCTGATGGAAAAAAGAGGAAAAAGATCTAGAGGGATGAGGCCAAATTGATGATGGTGAAGAGACCGTTATGGTTCACATATCCATGACGGGAGGGGAGAGGGGGAGAGAGGGACGACGCCAGATTGATGTACCACGACGCTGGTGATTGGGGGAGGGGGAACAGGAAGGAGCGTCGATGGTGGTACGGAGCTATTAACGATCGTGTTGTAAATTCCATTTCTTAATCAGGTAGAATTATGTGTTTATGTATGTATACATACATATAATATAAAAGGAAAATAAAATAAAATAAAACAAAAGGACCAAAATACTTGATAGCTAGTGACAACCATATGAACCAAAAATGTAATTTACTTCAAAAAAATTGATTAATAATTAACACTATTAAATAATTTAAAATTTAAATTAATTAATGCTACTAATAGTAATTAATATTACTCAAGGTTATAATCAAAAGAAAATATAAAAAAACTCATTATAGTTTATAAGCTATATTTTGCTCATTCAAATAGGATTTCTACAGAAAGCTCAAAAAACTCATCTTTGCCAAACATGGCCTTGGAGATTTCTATCATCTGTTTATTTTTCTTTTCGATTTTAGCATATATTACTAGCGTAATTGCTGGAGTAAAAATATGTTCTAAACTTCCAAAATCTATATTTTAACATAGTTGTTGAAAATGTTCCAAACACAGATAACCTTTTAGTTTTTTTTTTTTCCTTTTTGCCAAGTAACAAAACAGTAAAGAACTGTAAACCCTAAGAACCAAAATAACAATAAATTGTAAATCATAAGAATGAAAATAGCAATGAATTACAAATCATGGGAATGAAAACTGCAATTTCTAAATCATAGGGATGAGAATCGCAACTTTTAACAAATCATAGGGACAGAAATGGTAACTTACTCAAGCTAAAAACTAAAACCAAACTGTCCCTAGGAAATTAATTTGAAACGAATTAATTCTGTCTCAACATACATACAGTAAGCAACATGCTTGGCAACAAAACTTCAAAACAAAATCAAATAACGAACAAACAAATATAGCTTTTACATGACGGTACAAGCATGCGGGTTTTCGTCGCTAAAAAGGGAGGCAACGGCCTCATCGGAGGCAATAGCGACGGAATAAAGCGAAGGAGTGTGAAAGAAGGTATGAAGATTGTGTCCGGCGGCGGCTTGGTTCCTGTCGTAATAGTACTCATTGGCGATATGAGTAGGATACTTGTAGAAGGAAGCAACATGGGAGGAGTAACCCGGATACGGCCACGGCTCGGCTGCTTTCCCGGCTCGCTTGATGGCTTTCAGCACTTTCCTTTCTTCCAAACCATAGCCTTTCACCACCACTTTCTGCATTTCCATTTCTATTTCAATCTCTTCCACCCCTGAATTCAAATTAATTAAAACCCATTTAAAGTTCGAGATAGTGTATATATATATATATGTATATATATATATATATATATATGTATATATATGTATACCTTTGAGCTTGAAAAGTGCTCTCTTGAGCTTGGAAGCACAGCCATGGCAGTCCAAGTTTGGAACTCTCACTTCCACCATCTACAACAACCCCATTACGAATCACTTCATCAAACCCATAATCATACATATACATACACACACACACATATATATATATATAGCTATATATATTATATATATGAGAGAGATAGATAGAGAGAGAGAGACTTACAGACATTGGTAGTGAGATGGAGAATGCAAGAGATGGATGATGGTGAAGTCATGATATGTATAGGGGTGAAGTGGTGAATAAATAATGGCAATGGAGCTTAAGAGAGCGCATGCGTAGGTTGGATTATGAAAGCAAGCAAGCAAAGAAGCAGGCAGAGAACACTGAAAAGAGAATCCACTTTAGTGTCGGGGGGTGGGGCATTTACTTTCTTCAACCATCCAACTTTATTCATAGTAACCACCTTCCTCATTATTCACCAACTTACTAAATTACATTTTATGAGTAGAAACGAGTTTATACATCGTTGTTTCATTAATGACATGTGTCAAAGCGGTATTTTATATCTGAGAAGACCATTAAAGCATACACTTCTACTCACTTGTAACGATACATGCTCATTAATGACATGTGTCAAAGCGGTATTTTATATATGAGAAGACCATTAAAGTATGCACTTCTACTCACTCGTAACGATAAAAACATGTAAAACAGTATGAATTGTAAAACTCTGAAAAGAGAATCCATTTACACTGATTGGTACACTGGCATAGGCCACCGCTTCACGGTTCCTTCATGAGAGTATGTTTCCGAAGGGTGCCACCATATCGTTTTGAAATGAAATTCAGATGCAAGAATTTGATGGTGGAGATGGTTAATGTTTCTACTTTTGTACAAAAAGCCCGGTTTGAGTCTTATTGGTGTTAAATTTGTTAATATTCAGTTTAAATTTTGGTGTTCGTTTTATACCTTTTGTGTTTTTAAAAAGATAGGACTCGAACATGAGCTTTTTTTACGAAGAAACAAGAAACTAACCAATAAATCTATATTAATATTTTTATTTTTATTTTAAATATTTTTTATTAATTAAATTATACCACTAATTTGAAAAAATGAGTCCATCTTTGAGATTACTTTTGGTCAAATGATAGTCGCTATGTCATTATAGAATTACGTGAATTCAAAAAAAATCATTAAATATCATTACGTTGGGTCAATAATTATGTTGGACAAGTTAAGAAGACATTTGGCATTTTATTATTGAGGATTTGTATTCAGATTTACACATCTTAATCATGAAAGTGACTTATCTCCAACAATTTTTTTTAAATAAAGAAAATAAATTTTTTGTTTTTTCTATTGTTTCAATAAATTTTTTATTTTGTTCACTAAATTAAAGAAATATAAAGAAAACTTTAAATATAGAACGGAAGAGAGAAAATGGTTCATCGAGCTTGAATTAATATTATTTTATATTAAGTTTTTTTTTTAAATGTATTAAAATTATAAAATATTGAAATAATATAATTAATGATAAAATCTTTGAAAGAATTAAAATCTATTGGATTTAAATATAATTTATTTGAAAGATTTTAACTTTTAATATCCTACTTTAGAAAAAATTATAGAATCTGTTTGGAGATGTTGTAATGTTTTGGATAAGTTCAAATTGTATAGGTTAATCGAAAGTTGAGTTTCTAGCACTACAAAAAGCTCCGGTCTTAACAGGGCTGGCCCTGGTCACATGCAGTCCGTGCGGCCGCACAAGATATCAAATCCTAAAGGAATATTAAGTTGTCATCTATTACTAGTTCATTATTATTTTGAACTCCATTTTTGTTGATAAGGTGTTTTTCTCACAAGTTTGACAAAAAATTGTTGTGGGTTTCTTTCCCAGCCAATCTTCAAACAATATCTACGACAAAAAAAAAATTAAAGGATTAGAACATGTTCTTGTGATGACCTCCAAATAGCATCAAAATTTCTCTATGGATTGTGATAGTTAATAATCAGGAACAGATCCACTGTAGAAGATACGGTAACATATGCTATCGTTTCATTCCTCCGTCGTAAGGTAAAAAGTTTTAGAGTTGTGAAAAGTGACACTGTATTATAATGTTAGATGATATTCGGTTTGGACAACTTTTCTCCTACACCAGGTGTGAGTTCAAATCTCTTTTTACTCTTTTTTCTAGTTTCAACTGTTAATTCTAGGTTTATTATATTTCTAGAAAAAAAATGGTATTAAAAGACTCGAATACAAGATTTCACATACAAAAAATAAAAAAATAACCAACAAACTAATGATGATATTTTAAATCATTTTCTTATAATAAAATTGTGTCGCCATAAAAATAAAAAATAAAAAATAAAAATCTAGATGTGCTTCTATTAAACAACAGAGGCTGGTGTTTGTTGGTGGGGAAAAGGGGAGAATGATAAAGGCGATGGCAGGGGAGGTTGTTATTGGTGGTGCCACCGGTGGGGGCGTGGTGTCGTCTGGGTGGGGCTATTTCACCACTCACACTGAGTGAGGGTGGTGGCTTCCCATTTTTTAAATTTTGTAAACAACCACAAATTTTATATTAAAAATCACAAGATTGAGATTTATTTTTAAAAAAAACTAATGGATTTTATATTTCGAGTGATTAATTTTTTGTATTTTTTTAAAATAAATAAATATTTGAAATTTTTAAAACCAGTTAATATAATAAAATCATTGAAAAAATATGTAAAAACCCGACATAGTTTCATAATTTTGAACGGTTAAATTCCTAAATATTTTGGGATAATTTTTGTATGTTTCAGAATTACCATATGAAATGGTAGATTTTTGTTTGATTAATTTGCTTATTGCATTTTGTTGCTGATGAGAGAAATTGTATATTCTTTTAAGTTTAAGGGTTTATGAAATTATTTTTTAAATAAAGTTTAATAATTTATTTGCTTAAAGAAAACCATAGTTTTACTTATTCAAAAAAGTTCAAGTATTTAATCGTTCAAAATATAAAAGTAGATTGAGTTTTTCTTGCAGACTATAATAATGATTCCACCACATTAATCTGTTTATGTGTCACAAGAATGTATTTAATCGATATCAAAAAGTCTTGAAATTTATTTATTTAAAAAAATGAAGGATTTAATCACTTAAAATGAAAAAGTTTGTTAATTGTTTTTTTATAGATATTTCTAGTATTTTTATAAGTTTAATGACTATATATATATATATATATATATATATATATATATATAAATGATAGTGCTTAAAATAAAAGTTTTGCTACTTAATTAATATAAAGATTTACTTTTATAAAACAAAAATTTAGATTTATATACTAAATATTGAGTTATAATAAGCGGGTGTGTTTGGCTTAATTAAATAGTTTTGAGGGATTTGGATACAATGGTAAGATTTGGAATAAACGGGATTTAGATTTGAAATCTTTGGTTTGTTTGGTTTGTGTGATTTGGAATAAAACTGAATTCCGTTTCTATTAAAAAATATAAATAATTATAAAAATAATTAAACTACCTGTTATTAATTGATTATTATAAAATAAATATATTTACATGTTTTAAACCATTATTACATACAAATCCTATGAAATTCCATAAAATACCAACACCATGAAATTTCAAAATCCAATAATTAAGGGATTTCAATAAAATCCCGGGATTTCAAATCGAAAAAAAAAATTCAAACCAAATATAAAATTAAAATAGAATTTAATTTCAAATCACTCAAAATCTTATTCAATATGATAAACCAAATGGTACTTTTTCTAAAAATAAATTGGTAAAATGCAAAATTTTAGTAGATACACCGATGGTCCATAAATTTTGGTGTACGATATTCTGAAAAATATGTTCGTGCAGCAAATTTGGTGAAATAATTAATGCTAACCAACTCAAATCAAAATAACTTATGAATTGTTTATTAAAATTTCTGGTTAAATACCAATTGAGGTAAAACATTTATTATTGTAACAGACGTTAACACAATAAATGTTGATTGATAATTGTTATTTATCAGATATTTTATATTAAACACTTATTGGAAAAAAAAAGAAATCTGTAATACTCTTTTGTGTAAGGTAAATGTAAATGCTCACCAAAAGTTTTGATTACAATCGTAATCATCTTTACCTGTGATTAAACATCTTTACATGAAACCTCTTATACGATTTGAAGTATAAATGATTTTTAGATTTAATTTCTATGAATTTTATACATGTTCGCCTTAGAACCTTTGATTTTAGATGGGTGGGAAGTTTTGATGTTCTCACTTCGTAACTTGGGAACTAACTAAACAAGGAGTTTTGATGTTCTTGTCTTAGCCTAATAAGAGTAATGTCAAAGCTTGTATGCTAGGGGTATTTTGCTCGTCAACATATCTATATGACTTACTTAGTGTTCCGTCACTTGATGGAATCGGGTCTCCCCCATTATGGCAAGATAAATTAATTGTTACCATTCTTTCTAGTCTAATGACCCCAAATGGTTGTTTACATTAATTGCAAGTTAACCTTTTCCCCTAGAGAGACTAACATTTATTGACACCTTTATCTTATTTTAACTATTTGTGAACTTTGGATAACTATTTGATTTCACTGGGTGTCAAGCCTAATACTTTTTTCTTACCGATTTGTATAACAAGTCATAGTAGCGTCAAGCCTTCAAGTTAGTGACTTAGAGCTTGGAGTGTCATTTAGAGGCACAAACAAGATAACATTTTTGGAAGATAGCAACTTGGTGGTTGTTTATAACTCCTGACTTAAATATAGTCTTAATAGGATTAGATAGAAGTCTATAGAAGCTCTAATATTCAAACTTTTTTTTTTTTTTTTTTGGCTATCTTGTAACTATTTTTGCTTGGGCAAATAATTTTTGCTACTTTCAAAATTTTTAGGGTGTTGCAAGTTGGTATCAAACCTTAAGTTTAAGTGAACTAGGTATGGTACAGGATACCTAGACTTAAGCTAAATTGAGATAAGTTACGACTGTGTGAGAGTTGGGTAGAATCTTGAGTCTTGTACCCTTAAGGTTGTCGGAAAACACTGTTACCAGATAGTGACGAGGATTTTCATGTACAATATGTTCAAAATTTCATTTGGCCAATGTTATTATGAATTTATTATTACTTGAATGTGCTTACAATTGCTATTATTTTGACGCTTGATAATTGTGGTAGTACATATTAGATTGTTTATCTTATAAACATTTAAGGGGTATGATCTTTGCCATGTGTATGACAGTTCACCATGATAAACACGCGAAGTCACCAAGGAA